AAGGCCTCTGGCCTACTACTTACAGCGATGGGTTCGTTTCATCAGCTGGTCCCGCCCACCGCGGGATGTGGTGCGTGGCTGGCCTAACGTGTGAGATCAGCTAGGTTGATTGCCGTATCAACCGATGGAACGGCTGGCATATCCGGAAAACTCGTTTGGACGTGGCTCTCCCCCGAGCAAGCCTCCTTCACTGCTAGAAGGGAAGGGGTTTCGATTTCGGTCTTGTCGACGGTTTCTTTGCGTTTTTTCTTCACTGTCGTTCCACCTCCCATCTCTACACTCAATTTCAGGCGCCATAATGCCCAAACACGAGCCTGACTTTTGCCTTTAAGCAATCCCTCACGAGATTATTCCATAATATCGAGGAATATTCCGAAATCGAATCCGCCCTTCTTGCTCCCGTGCAATTAAACTGTCGATTTCATCGCCAGAGCACCGCCAGCCTTTCATGGCATATTTATCAGAATTCATAAGCGCTCACATGTCTAACGTGATGATCAGGTTAGCCGACATCGGCACTGCGAACCGTACGGTTGTAAGCTTGGGCAAGGAGTAGGAAAGTGAGATGACTTGCTACTAGGCGCAGAGTTTTGCCCATAACTCAGCACTACACTGAAAATTTGACGACGCGACTGTGGCAACAGCAGCAATTAACGAACAAACAAAGCGACGACATAAACTGCTGACTTATTTCTTGCCCATTTCCACAATAGGCCAAGAAGTGCTATCATAAGCATGTTGACTATAGGCAAAACGTTTCGCCCAGGTGGAAATCAACCTCCCTTCTCTCGCTTTTAGGGCAGTTGCGCCAGCGTTCAAAAAACTTGGACGCTGTTCCCAATTAAAGGAGGATTTCACGATAAGGTTGAAGATCGAGAAAGGGAAAACCTACAAAGTAGAAAGACAGGCGGACCCTCTGAAGGTGCCAATCGACACGCGATTCGGTTTCAGATTTTAGATCGTCGGCAGTCTAACACGACCGTCCCTGCGCCGCTAGTGTAGCGGCCCGCCCACCGTCTCGCCGTCTGAACCTCTGGCCGTATAGCAGAGAGTGCATTAGTGTTGAAGAGGGCATCACCGTTGGAAGCCACCACTAATGCCGAACTCAACGGGGAAGTAATGCGTCCCCTTCTTGAGTTCTGTGGCCCTCTCATGTTTCTTCTTCATCTCTTGCACACTGACAGCCTCTACCGGGGTTGGTATGGCCAATGGGGCGTCATTTTTTATGGTAAAGCGCCGCCTTTATACAAGCCTCTTTCTAGCGAGGTTGATTCATACGGCGGACCGACAGCGTGTTTCCAGTAACCAAACATCAGCCCATGTGCCAGCTGGCTAAACATGCTGTTGTGGGAGAACAGTCGAATATGTCCTGCGCCTTTGCCGTATAACAAGGTTGGCTCTGGCCCGATGGTCATGGTCACTATACAAAAGCACTCGCTTGATCCAGGGCTGGGAGAGCAAAAGAGCAAACAAACTAGAGGCTTCACTTCTACTTTAACTGCGTTTTCAGACGAGAGCTAGGATTTGTTTCCATTTCACGAAAACATTGAGTTTGCAAAATTTTTGATAAAGGAGGAAAAAGGATAAAGCATTTGCCGTTGATCAATCCCTTTTTGGGATGCGGCACGCATTCTACTTCCATTTGTACATTCGTAGTGGCGTTTGAATGCGATGTGGCCTATACAATGACTTGCGGGGGCCAGCCGATGTCAAGTCAGTGTTTTTATCCTCCCAGACAAGTCTGGTACCAATTAACCGACCCCGGAGGGATGGAAGGCTTGGTTGGCCCGGGCGACTCACGACCCAGGATTTGATCCCGGACCGCTCGCGTGGTGAGCGCGCCACTTGTCACTACACCACTTCCGCCCTTCAACATAAATCATATCAATATAAAAATCAATGTCACGGGCACGAGAAATTTCTTTTGAGTACCATGAAAAACTAACTCGATACTGGACGAAATAGTCTGACATTTAATGGGTACTGTGCTCCTCGAGGGGGGCAGACGTTTCGTGCATGTGTTGCAATGATACAAAGGAGCATTGTTAAAATTTCAATGCATCACGCTGCCAACTGACCAAGGAGCGCAATTGGCCATTGAATATGCATTGATTTTTCTTCTCAATAAAAAAATCACAAGGAATGAATATCAATCAAGTATTACGTCACAGCAACGTGAATCACTATTTAGACACTGACTGTGCTGGTGGTACTGTAGTACCACTTCCGTAAGACAAAAGTTTCGCGTCAAGTAATGTCCTGTGGGCAATGGGTACGCTACCAGTACGATTTTGGATCTGCTCGTGGTTAACGCCCAATATGTGGCGCATCCCACATGACAGTACATTGAACACTTTTTTGAATTCGCTTTCACTTTTTCGTTTGCTGGTGGTTATTGTAGAGCCGCCCGTTACGTAGTGCACAGCTGAATGTTTCGAATTCTCTTAATAGTCGAGCATCATTGAGTGGGGCGAAGAATCAGAATAACATTGATGCAGGTAATCTACTCAGTTTGTTAATTGTAAAATTAGGGGTGGGAAGTTGACCCAGAGGAAAAAAAAGGAGAAAAAGGGAATCGTGGTGAAATACTCAGACAACACGAGCCTCTTGCCTCTACCGGATGCAGGAGCAAGTAAAAAATACAAAATGGAAGATGAGCGCGTGAGCGAACATGAGAGTTGTGTACAGGTGGCAGCGATGCTCCCTGGGGCGCTTAGCGTCTTACGCTTTAGTGACGCTTCGATGCAGGAACGTCTGGCGCGTCGTATTGCAGCGTGTGCGTTCCATGCCCCGCTCTAACCACGGCAAGGTCTTTTCTAAGTAGGTCTAAACCCGAATCAAGCCTTTGAAGGTGGACGGTGGTGATGGATCAGCGCTAAATGATGTAGCTACAAAATGCAAGGTCAAAATCGGAATATTGGCGAATTTTCTTCGGAGAAAGTGAAGAGTAGGCAATTGATTTGTTTAATATGTTGACGAATCACGTGTTTTGGCATTTTGCGCCGCGTGGGACAGGAGCGATTTTGCGAGCGCGCCGTCCTCACCTTACTTACGCTTATTTTTTGTTAAAATGCACAATAACTTGAATCTCACAGAATTATTTCGGCAAGGATGGCAGAGGTTACCTATATAAATACCAGTAGAAGTTTGTTTAGAAGAACGCATAATGACCACGAAGAAGCAAAAAAATCCACTTTCGCTGCGAATGAAATAAAAGCATTTATACCTAAGTTTTTCCATCAAATACAAATATCTTGAAACTCACAGAGTTTTGTATTAACTGCTTCTACAATCTTTTATATGAATGTTACGACAGTGAAAGGAATACTAGGAAAGAATTGAATGAAAGTTTTGTGCGTTCAGAAAATCTTTGCTAAATCAAGGGATATTTGACCACTCTGGCTGCCATGTGGTTTATAGTTATGCTAATGTATTATCTATAGAATGAATACAAAAAACTCGAGAAGAAGGAGCGCAAGCACAATAAAAATGAATGACATAGTTCTGACGCGCATGCGCGTCAGCCTGTCGTCAACGTGTTAAATGACCCTTTTATAGTTTGTTCTCCCACAAGAACTGGGTGGGCCAATCGAAAAAAAAAACATTCTGCCTTCACATTGAAATGATCTAACCAGGGAAGGTCATCAGGTCGGTCCACCATTAGTAGTGAGCTGTATACCGTTGCACTCGCCTCGAGACGCTGAGCTCAAAACTGCCTTCACTATCTGCTAAACGGTTCTTTGAACGGAGTTATAAAGCAAGAAAGCGCAGCGGTAGTGCCCTGGTCTCGCAGGCAAGAGGTGGTGGGAACGGTTTTTCGAGGAGCCTGCTTTTTTTCAATGTCAGTGTGGTGGAAAAGCTTCTAAATTCGTTGATTCATCAACCCTTGCCATTATTGCTCCCGTATGAAGAGTTTGCGAGCAGTTCCCACAACCTCTTGCCTGCGAGACAGGGCACTACCGCTGCGCTTCCTTGCTTTATAACTCCGTTCAAAAAAATCGTTAGCAGATCGGGAAGACAGTTTTGAGCTCAGCGTCTCGAGGCGAGTGCAAGGGTATAGAGCTCATTACAAATGGCCGGACCGGCCTTGATGACCTTCCCTGGTAAGATACCTTTCTCAATTCAGACAGAATACTCTCAACTTATAGTTGAAAAGCACATTCTTTCATGGAAAAAATTAATAGTGATCTTCCACGCGGAATGCACCAGAAAATTTGCCACATGGCGCACGGGTCAAACTCAGTGGGATCCCGCAGGACCCCGTACCACTACGACGGTTTCTAGTAAGCAGGTTTCGAAAAGGTCCGGTAGTTAAAGCTAAGTGTCTTTAAGAAATTATCCAATAGTGAGTCGACTCAAGAAATTATGTAAGAGCTTCAGGCTGAAGCAGTTACGGTAGGCCTTTTTGAGCTCGACGACTATGACATATTCTGAAGACGGTGAGGGTACTGTAGAAGACTTGCAGTATCTCGTAGAAGTTTCTCATAGAAGGTACTGTAGAGGGTACATTTGTGGGATGAATTAGTGTTCCGCGGTGAAGCAGTTACGGTAAGACTTCTTGAGCTCGACGACTATGACATATTCCGAAGCCGGTGAGGGTACTGTAGCAAGACGCAGTTTCTCATAGAAGGTACTCATAGAAGGTGCATTTGTGGGATGAATTATGACATATTCTGAAGACGGTGAGGGTACTGTAGGAGGACTTGCAGTTTCTCACAGAAGTTTCTCATAGAAGGCACTGTAGGAAGACTCGCAGTTTCTTATAGGGGGCATTTGTGAGATGAATCAGTGCAAAAATTCAGCTTATAACGGCTATCTTTGCCGCGAAGAAATCGCTGAAGCGCACCGTGGTAAAATGCTTTTTGTTTGCTTCTTCATCCCCCCCCCCCATCCTCGGCACATTTGGCACAAGTTGTTAACTATTTGTCTCATTCAATTTTTTTTCGGCCGCAAAGCTCAATGATATTATTGAAAACGAATGAAAATCATGAAACTTACATAATAGCAACCCCCTCCCAGCCACATTTCTTGTTTGTTTCCTGACATGCCAGGATCAGTCGAACATTCGCCTCTTATGGTGATGTAAACACGGGCTTTAGCATATGGATCTTCACGAAAGTTAATGCACGTGCGAGCACTTATGTAGGCCATTGCTTTCCTGATAGTCTCACGATATTCTTCATCTAGAAATTTCCTCAATGAGTAATCAAAGAAAAATTTCCGTGTGAAATGTTTAGAATTTATCAGAGAATAATAAAGGATAAAGGATAAAGCATTTGCCGTTGATCAATCCCTTTTTGGGATGCGGCACGCATTCTACTTCCATTTGTACATTCGTAGTGGCGTTTGAATGCGATGTGGCCTATACAATGACTTGCGGGGGCCAGCCGATGTACAAGTCAGTGTTTTTTATCCTCCCAGACAAGTCTGGTACCAATTAACCGACCCCGGAGGGATGGAAGGCTTGGTTGGCCCGGGCGACTCACGACCCAGGATTTGATCCCCGGACCGCTCGCGTGGTAAGCGTGCCACTTGCCACTACACCACTTCCGCCCTTCAAAGATACCTCATTGGAAAGTTTTGGCATTCGTCAGGTTGCCAACTGGAGTTCGAAAGGCATAAACCAGATTATTTCGAACTCCAGTTGGCAACCTGACGGATGCGTTTAAAGAATTCCACGACAAGAACGAAGGTCAAAGAAGGGGAAAATTGCCCAGTTGGGACACAGGGCGCTCACCGACAGCCGTGAAAGATCTCACCTCAACGATCTAGCATGGGTCACTCTTGGCACAGTCGGCACGCCCCCCAACAAGTATCTTATCACTC